TTGTTACTCCCAGCAACCCAAGCCTCAGCCCATTAAATACCGTGGAGTAGAACATTTATCTGACATGTTAGTACACTACAATCAGGTAAGTGGTGTGACTTTGAGTGAACTCTATTATTTATGTTATATTTCATGCATTCTCCCTCATTGATAGTGTTTCTAATTTTCTACAGACGTCTGACATTTTGTATTATGAAGTTCTGGATATTCCTCTTCCAGAATTGCAAGGTCTTAAGACTCTAAAAGTCGCTTTCCATCATGTGATGAAGGATGAAGTATGTATAAATTATACAGCTGTGACTTGTATTCCTCTTTGTTTGTTGATTTTATGTTTAAGCTTATACCTGCCAATTTTGCAGGTGGTTATACACAATATCAGATTACCTAAACAAAGCACTGTGGGGGATGTTGTTAATGAACTTAAAACAAAGGCGAGTGTAATGTACTTGCAGTTTTTTCCGTTGCTTTGCTACATTAGTCTCTAAAATGGGTTTATCCCTTTCAATTGATAATGGAGTTTTTTTCTCTCTCTAGCTTGTCTATCTGTTGCCACTGGGGCTATGTCATATTGATATTGTGCTGAAATTTGAAGTTGTCCTGGGTGCAATCAGATTACTGGATGCACTCTCTTAGTGGTATATGTAGGGCTTGAAAGAGTAGAAATTTCTTTTGTGGTTTGTGTGCTTATACGAGATTTATACGCGAAATAGGTTGAGCTTTCACATCCAGATGCAGAACTCAGGTTGCTTGAGGTGTTTTACCACAAAATCTATAAGGTAACAAGCTAATTCGGTTTTGTTTCTTACATTGTGCCTGCTAGCTAGTAGTACAATGTTTCTTGTGTGGAAAAATGTGTGCAACCTTCTGGAGTTTAGCTATATTCATAATTTGAATTTGTTGGGTACATCTTGCAGATCTTTCCACCTACTGAAAGAATTGAGAATATCAATGACCAATACTGGACTTTACGAGCTGAGGAGGCAAGTCACTGAGCTAATAACTCTAATTTTTAATTCATTCTCTGTCAGTGATTTGTGTGTTTGAATTTGATTGCACGTTGTGGCTGGTTTTGACTCGGATGTGAACATCTTGTGTTTTGCCAAATCCCAGATTCCTGAGGAAGAGAAGGATATCGGTCCCAATGACCGCTTAATTCATGTGTACCACTTTAATAAAGAGTCGGGGCAAAATCAGATGGTAATCAATTGTAAAGCTTAAAAATTTGTTTGAATTCCAGGGTTTTGAAGTTGGTTATGTTAATAACATTCTAATTAGGGTATCCTAATAAGTACAATCTGATTTGCTCAGCAACAAGTACAAAACTTTGGTGAACCCTTCTTTTTGGTAATCCACGGAGGCGAAACGTTGGGAGAAATCAAAGAGCGGATCCAAAAGAAGCTGCTTGTTCCTGACGAGGACTTTGCTAAGGTATGTATGTCTTCTAGTTTATCCGGTTTGATCTGTTGGCTATAAAGAATCCAAAAAGTTGATAATTGTCTGACAGAAAGATGCTTTCTGGTGCGGAGGTTGGTTTATGATTGATTCATTTCTTATTTGTGTAGTGGAAATTTGCATTTATGTCAATGGGACGGCCGGAGTACTTGGAGGATACAGATGTTGTTTACAATCGATTTCAGGTGATGATTGCTTTGTTGTATCCCTTAATACTCTGTGATTCTACTTTCTAGAGAATGCTTGTGTTGATATGTCAGATGATATTTCGGCTGTTTTTGGTTAATAAAATGGTATAATATCAGAGAAGAGATGTATATGGCGCTTGGGAACAATACCTCGGGTTGGAACACTCTGATAATGCTCCAAAGAGGGCTTATGCCGTAAACCAGGTACGAACTCCGTTCTTTGAATTCTATCGCCATGGAATGGTGAAAGACTGTTCTTATCCGCAGCCAGATTGTTAATGATTTGCTATGTCATTTGTAGATCCGACACACGTATGAGAAGCCAGTGAAAATATATAACTAGAAAAGAGTTTGAACCCCCCGAGAAATCTTGAGACGTGGGTAGGCGGAAGGCATTTGCTGCGGAATTATGATGGCAGTAGAAGGCTGTATTAGCTCATTGGTTTCACTTTGATGGTGTTAATATGATGTGTGTGTGTTGAGTTTGGAAAGCATCAAGCATGTCCTCATTCAGTTACAAGGAGGGCTGTTGGCTTTTCGGGGTTTGTAGGCACAGACAGACACTGTATAATTTATAGGATGAGAAGTTAAGAAGATTTTGACTTGTGGGGATCTCTGTATTTTCCTTCTTGGTAGAGTTTTAAAAAAAAAAGAGTTTCAATATTTGTTCTTTGAAGCTCTTGGGTCATGCTTTGGTCTCTACTTGAAAATTAGGGTTTTGCAGTAGCAGCAAATTAGGATGGGTCCATTTAATTATCTGGTTGGTTCACATGAGTATGCGATTTTGTGGGTCCATTTAATACGAAAAAGTGAAAGGATATGATTTTTCAAAAACATAAAAAACCGAAATAACGATAATTTCAACTGAATATAAAAATATTAAACAGTTAACTGAGTACTAAAAATATTAAATTAAATTGAAATTATGGATGTTCGAAATTGTATCCCAAATACGTTTACGAATTCATGTAATATTAGTATAATATTCTCAGTTTGTATAGTTAAAATATTACAAATGTATATTAATATGTTTGCTGTTAGTATTGTTTATATTAAAATATTATGTATCGCGAAACTTTATATTACAGTTAAGAATAACCGAGCAACTATTCTATAATTTTTTATAACATAACGAAAAAACAAATATATACATGTGTAATTGTCCCTATAAAAAAAAGCCGTACGTGTCATTTTTGTCCCCCGAAGAAAGTATCCCACGGAACTCTTCACGCGCCTGTTTTTCTGGTTTGCCCGAAAATGCCAAAAACCTGTGGACAAATAACCCAGGCGTTTTGGGGCGGTGATGTTCACGCGCCTAATGTGCGCGTATGATTTTCGAATAGTTAGCCTAATTAGTCATTTAAGCGTCACGCAGCTAAAAGCCCAAGGCCCTTGTTTCTCTTTTAATAGTTAGAAATTTTGGGTTTTATTTATTTTTTAAAAAATTTAATGAAAAATTTTGCCCCCTCCTATATAAAAATATTTACTCTTCATTAATTTACACATGGATATAGATTTTCTAAACCAAAAAACAAAAAGCCAAATCTAAACGGAAATCGGAAATATTCCATCCCTAATGAAAATGACTTAACTCTAAAATATGTTTATGAGCAGAAATAATTCCATATTCCATAAATATGGACACATCGAGAGGCAAAACCATACTCACCTCCTCCCATTATCCGAGAATCGGGTAGACATACTAAACCCTAATTTGCTGCGATGGAAAAACCCTAACGTTCAAGGGAGAGACAAATGCAAGATCTTTGGGTTTCAAAAGAAAAAAAATATTGAAACTTGCAAAGAATGCCAACTGTACCAGGAAGGAAATACAGAGATCCCCCACTTTATATATATATATAAAAAAAAATCTCAACCTATCCTCCTACTCCAACCGCCAGATTACAATGTCGGTATCTACAAATCAGAAAGGCTAAACCGCCCTGTCCTGTAACCCAATCGGACCCCCAAAACAAAGCTTGCAGTGTCCAGAATTCACACATTCATATTAACAGCCACCAAAAAAGTGAACCAATCACACAAATAAGTCAAGAGAAAAACCAAAAAAGAAAAGAAGAGAAAACCTTCCCGGATAAGATTTTTCGTATTCAATGAGCAAAAAAAACCCTATCGGACCAATTCTCTAAAAACCCTATAGCCATCACCAAAAAAAAAAAGGAAACTCAAACAGCAAAACAACACCTTGCTTCTTCAGATGGCTTTCAAATTCTACTTTTCACCCTTTGCTAATTGTATATTTTCACAGGCTTCTCGTACGTGTGCCGGTTCTACAAAAAACGGGCAAATGGAACTGTTAAAACAAAAAGCGGTAATGAATTTGTAAGCAACTTGAACTCAGTGGAAGAAGACAGGTTCAATTTCTGTTCTAACCTGGTTTACGGCATATGCCCTCTTAGGAGCATTGTCTGAATGCTCCAACCCGAGATACTGCTCCCATGCACCATATACTTCTCTTCTCTGTCGACGTCATTTTAACCAAAACAGTTCAATAAATCTCTAACACATACATAATAGCACAAAGCTTCTCTTGCGAGGATAATAAGCAAATCACCTGAAAGCGGTTATAAACGATATCTGTATCCTGCATGTACTCCGGTCGTCCCATTGACATAAATGCAAATTTCCACTGGAAAAAAAGGAAGATGTGTTTCGATGAAACCGATTCCATTGAAAGCTTTATCAGATTAACCTTGGATCCTTTACTGCATACCTTGGCAAAATCCTCATCAGGAACATGCAGTTTCTTTTGGATGCGGTTCTTGATTTCTTCTAAAGTTTCACCTTCGTGGATTACCAAGAAGAAGGGTTCACCAAAGTTTTGTACTTGCTGCCAAACAAACATGATCATCAATTAGAAAACTCCAATTTGAGAATCGTAATGAGCAACTCCAGAACAGTAGCTTTTTAAGGTTGATAATATACCATCTGATTTTGTCCAGACTCTTTAGTAAAGTGGTACACGTGGATTAAACGATCGTTGGGACCGATATTCTTCTCTTCCTCAGGAATCTGATATTTTTGTGACACATAAGATGTTCAGTATCTCTGAATAATCAGTCAGTCATAACCAGCCACATGGAGCATTCATAATCAAATAATTAGCCATATTCCGTTCTTAATGCTACAAAATGCATATAGAGTATTGTTTAGCTTGTGGAACTGTCTAAGCAAATTAGTAGATGCAACGCAGTGGGATAACGATCACATTTCCTTGATCTCTAAACATCTGACATACAGAAACTGCAAAGCAAGATAAGCCAACCCTAGACGACTCGCTACGAGATGGAATAAATCCAGTAACAGACCAGAAAAGATGAATGAAGAGAAAACAGAGACCATTAAGATGCAGAATATACAGAACAAGGCTACGACGATGATGCGAGTAAGCGAGTGTGTGTCTAGCCTAGTGACGTACCTCCTCAGCTCGCAAAGTCCAGTACTGGTCATTGATATTCTCAATTCGTTCAGCCGTTGGAAATATCTGTGAGGCCATATCCACCAGATTTGAGTCAAAATTCGCTAAGCTCCCACAAGATTGCAACATTTTCACCAAACAGAGAGCATAGCACCTAAGAGCTATAATATTAAGATAATGGAAAGAAACAGAAACTACAATTTATGTAAGAAAGTGATAGGATCTCAGTAGCAATTCTGTAGAACTGTAACCAATCAATGAACACCACTCTTTACTGATCAACAAAGACAAACACAACCTGAAAACTGAAGACTTGTTTAATGAGAGGTCTTCTCTCTCAACCCAAACCCTAACTTTTTCCCAAAATTCTGCATACCATTTCTAATCCATCTAACCTCTATTTATAGCTATTGATTGTTGAAACTAGATACTAACTATCTAACACTAACAGCAAAACAACCACATACTAAATATAGTCTAAGTTCAACGAATCTAAACTAACCACAAATATGTAACTCCGTAACATTTATTAGAAAGCAAATCAAGCTAGCTTCTTACCTTATAGATCTTGTGGTAAAATACCTCAAGCAACCTGAGTTCTGCATCTGGATGAGAAAGCTCCACCTGTTTCACAAGTATAAACCTTGTATAAAAACTTGCAAACTATCAAATATGTAATTTATACAACTGTTGCACAACTCTTCCAAGAACTAAAAAGGAAGCTTTCTTGGAAACAAACATGCATAGATCACAAAGTCGATCCAGTAATCTGTATGCATCTTGTATGACTTTAAATTTCAGCACAATATCAATCTTCGGTAGTCCTCCCAGTAACAGATAGAAGACCAGAGAAATCAGGGTTCCGTAATGATTAGAAAGGCAGAAAAAACTTATTTAAGAGACTAAAGAAGCAACATAACAGAGAAAACCGCAAGCAGGTTACCTTTGTTTTAAGTTCATTTATGACATCTCCAACAGTGCTTTGTTTAGGTAGTCTGATGTTATGGATAACCACCTGAAAATTTGACAAGTAAAGCTCAACTCTAAAATCAACGCATAGAAAAGATACATATCACAGTGGCAGTATAGATACATACTTCATCTTTCGTGGCATGATGGAAAGCAACTTTTAGAGTCTTAAGACCTTGCAGTTCTGGAAGAGGAATGTCCAGAACTTCACAATACAAAATGTCAGATGTCTGCAGAAGATAAGAAACACCCTTTAATAAGAAACCTCATCAAACATTGTGCCAAAGAATGAACTGAATTAACTCAAATTCACACCAAATACCTGATTGTAGTGAACTAACATATCGGATAAATGTTCTACCCCACGGTACTTTATAGGCTGAGGCTTGGGTTGCTGGGAATAACAATTGTGAGACGTCAGCCTAATTTTGGATGGATCGTCCAAACCAAGCTTATGAGCCACTCTCTCCACAACATCATCGTAGGTATGCAGCTTAGACCTAAAAACAGTAGAGTTAAAACTAAGAAAAGAAAGAAAAACTGCTCTGTATGCAGGCAGTGTAGTGTCAACAGAGATGCTTACAACTCAAGAACAAACTCATCTTCTTTCGGTTTTTCTAGAGAACGAAATCGAACCAGCTGCAAAAAAAACATAGCAATCAATAGCAGCAAACAAAACTGTGGGAACTAACTTGTCAGCCATCATCCGGTCAATATAGTTCAACATTTCCAACAATTATAAAAATATTCAGCACATTTGCAGCATTAACAACTAATGTGCAGAACTTTTATGCAGTTCTTCTTCCGCACTAGTTCCTTTATTGTAAAAGGGAAATGCGAGATTTTGCAAAGCCTACATCCAATTCCAAGCCATATTTTTAAACTTAAGGGTCATACCTGTCTATTTTGGACATACTCCAAAAATGAAGGGACGTCGGGATACTGGCATTCACTACTATCTTTGTCAGTCAGAACTTTCTGATAGCAAATGATATCTCCATCTTCAATCTGCATGCAGTAAACCATGTCACGAGGCCGACACCGGAAAATGAAGCTCAGTAAAGGACCAACCCAGTTCGTATCCCCATCTAGTGGGAGTGCTGGGGAAAGGAATATACTAGGCCACCTTACCCCTACATTTTAATGTAGAGAGATGGATTCGAACCCGCGACCTCAGACCCCACGGTAAATGGTTTTACCGCTGAGCCAAGTCGGTAAAATGAAGCTCAGTAAATAACACAATTAAACAATTACTTGGCACAATCTAAATGAAGTCTTCTTGT